TAATTATGGCATTTTAATTACTTATTCTAAATAAGTTTGGAAATATTTTATAAAAAGGAAAGTTTATTTAATTAATTATTTAATAAAAGTTGGGGTTTATTTTAGGAAAGTTTTATTTTAACAAAGTTTTATTAGGAAATGGATTAGGAAAGGGTAAATAAGGAAAGTTTAGGTAAGGAGGGTTTGTAGAGAAAGAAGGTATAAATATTCAACATTTGGGCAAATTAAACTTTGCCCAAGAGTGGAGAAAACCCAAGGTGAATTTCTCTCCCTTCTCCTTTATTATTCTTTCTTTCTTTATTTCCCCTTCCCCTTGTTTTCGGCCTCACCACTGCCGGCCATCACCACCACCGGTGGGCCGTCGGCCACCAGCAACACCAGCCGGCTGGCAGCAGCCGGCAGTGGCGCCGGTCTGCTGTCGGCAGCCCCCTTTTCGAAAAAAAAAATTGTCTTTTGTTTTTAATTTTGCTTTGATCCTAAATCTAATTGTTAAATATGAGTTTTATGATTAAAATTTTGATGTTTGATTATACTCCCTCCGTCCCCTTTTGATAATCCCTTATGAGCTTTTTTCACGGGAATTAATAAAGACAAATAAGAATAGCAAAAGTACATTGAATAAGTGAATTGACATTGGGTATGCAAAAAAGTAGAAAGAGAAAGTAATAAAAGTGCATGGGAAAAGAAAATTTACATGGGAAATTTAAATTTGCACAAATATTGTTACAAATTGGAGGGAATTTTGGTAAAAAATTAATATCAATGGTTGTTGGAAAAAGCAAATGGGGTGAACATTTTGGGACTAAATTTTGCCCATAAGAGACTATCAAAAGGGAACGGAGGAAGTATTAAGTATGTAATTTAATTTTCAGATTTTAATTTTAATTAAAAAGCCCCAATTTTGAAACCATAGATTCATAAATTGTTGATTACTGAAAAAATAAGATTTAGGGTGATTCAAACCTTTAATTTAAGTGCTCTAAAGTATAATTACAGCAAGTTTTCATTAGTATAAATGCTGAAATTTTTGGTAGTATGCTAAAAAGTAAAGTTTCTTTAAGAAATTTTAATTACCCATTATTTGGGATTAAAGTATGAGGTTTTAAATAAAATTTCAGCATGTTTTTAATTAATTTTGGGTGGTTTTAAAAGAGTATATATTGCTGGAAATTTGTAAGGAGTGGATATTAATGCCTTTTTATGATTTTGGTTTGTAGGAGAATTCCAATTAAGTGATTTCGCTTAGTCGTGGCGATTTTAAGATCATATTCAAGGTCCGTTCGCGTACTTAGCATATTTGTGGTGATGTAGTAGCATGCTTGGTTTGATTAATTAAATTACAAGTAGTATCATGCTAAGATTTGTGTTTGGAATTATGATTTTGATGTTGGTGATTAAATTGTGAAGCATCATTTTATTTGTGATGGATTATGGATTGGAAAATTATACTTTGGCATGTTTTATATGAACTACACTTCTATTTATGGCATGTTAGAATACATATTTAATTTGGTTTAGAATATTGAGAAAGAATTTTATTATAATTCATATAATTTTTATGAATGCTTAAAGCATGGGAAAGGAGCTATGTAAGTGTCTATGTACACGAGGAATAAATTGAATGTTGGTGCCTTAGTGCACTTAAGGTATTTTTAACACTGAAGGATAGGATTTGCGGCGCTTTATGCGTTTAAGGTGTCTTTGACACCGAGGTAGATTTAAAAAGGGTTCAACATTAGATATTATATGATCACTAATTATTCAAGAATTAAATTGGTACATTGTGTGTTTGGATAATTATTGTGGATTTTCTGCATGATTATAGTTAAGAGTCATCACCAAGTCTAATAAAATGTAAATAACGTAAAGTGAAAGAGATTACGCACCAAAACTCTTGGAAAGTATATACCTTGAGTATAAACACATGAGGGGAGTTATGGGGTTTTATGTTTAACCATAACTTCTACTGGAGTACAGGACGCTGTACATTCCTTTTTATTTATTATTATGCGTAGGAATTCCGCCACTTACGACTAGTTATTTGATGCTAGCATGGTTAGCTCCCGTGTTAGAAACCCCAAACTATTGGGGAAGGTTGGTTGGGAAACCCGTTCGATGCGTAATCAAATGCTAAATAAATTATTAGTGACTAGTTAGAAAGTTTTGTTGAATATTGCATGCTTGTGTACAGGTTCATTGAGGTAAGCATGTGTTTTGCTAGGTGAAAGCATGTTAGTGTGTTTACATACGCTTATGTACTCAGTTTTGCTGATTGTGTGTTTGTGTGCTTATTGGCCTTGTCTTTACCTTGGCCCTATGATGACCCATTTTTAATGGAGAGTAGTGGGAACAAGTAGAGATAAGTTTTTTAGGTATTGAAGCATATTCATGAAGGGGCATGAGTGAAGAGCGATTTATGCTAGTTTCCATTAGTTTATGATGTGTTTAATGTTTTGATTACTTATGATATTATTATGTGTGGGACTAACGCAAAGTTTTGAATTCGGTTTGGTTTTATTAAGGGCTTACGATGGTTCCAAGTTGTAGGTTAATTATATTTTACTTCGTTTGACTTTGGTTTGACTTTACTTTCGTTGATTGACTTTTCAAGTTGACTTGTTTTGAATAGTTTTTAAAATTTAGTCTTCCATTGTGTATCTTTGATAATTGCCTTAGTCGTTTTCACGGTGGCGGTAATGTCTTAGATTTTCCAAATTCAATTTTTTAAAGAGTAAAACAGGTATTTTTAAAAGAAAGGAATTTCTTGGGTGTTACACATATTGTCAACAATTTTTGTAATACAAGTTGTGGGAGCGCGTGTCTCTCGAATTTTGTACACGTAAATTTGTAGTTGTGTTTTTGCACCTTGGCTTGGTAAGATTTTTCAATTTGTAAGATTGTGTATAGTGTGTGAATTGGATTAAGTTAAATTGGGTTAACTAAACAAAAGGGCCTTCAATTTTCAGTTTTTTCACCATTTGAGTACTCATATATTTTTTTCACCGTTTGAGTACTCAATCCTAAATTCCGGCCAAATTAATTAAATACATTAAATAAATAGAGTCCCTTGGGTTAAGAATAAAGCCCCTTGAGTTAACTTAACTAACATTAACAACTAAGCACGCTTATCAGTGTAGTTGAATTGCATAGACCACAAAATTTGCGGCACTACAACTTATCTTCCCCTGTTCACTCTTTTCTTCTTTTGAAGTGTGTCAATGAGGTCGTGAGGGGTTGAATAGGAAGAAGAAGAAGAAAAAAAAAAAGCTTGGATTGTAGTTAAATTTGGGGGAAAAGACAACATTTTTAATTAAGACCTTAGTAAAAATTGTTCCTCCCCAAACACTGGTTACGACAAAACCCAAAATTGCAGGAGTCTTATATGTGGTGATGGCAGTTTGTGGTTGTTGGTACATTATGGACGGTGGGAGATGGATTACCATGATGTCGCAATTTCAACGTATGGTTATTTAATTGGATTAATTCGCGGATGGATTAGGTTTTTGTCTTCGTCGTTCGTCAATTTAGAGCTTTGTCTTTCGTAGATAGCTAAGAATTTTTCTTGTTATTTGGTAATTTAATTCATCAAAATTGTGTTTGTAGGATTTATATTAATGTTAGTTTCATACAAAAATGATCAAAATTCAACAAAACTAATGCCAACAAATCACAAGCTACTTAATCCCCCCCCACCCCCCCCCCCCCCCCCCCCCCCCCCCCAAAAAAAAAAAAAAAAAAAAAAAAAAAAAAAAAAAAAAACCAATCACAAGCTAAAACTGACCTTTGGTTGTAGATCACCATGAGAAGCTCACCAGAACTAACAATTAATGCAGGTTGGTTTTTGCTTTAGAATATTTTTTTTTTTTAAGATAAAATAATTAAGGGTTTTTCTACATAGAACCCCCAAGATTTTGCGTTTTCTATATTGTGCTCTCCTAAATCCAAACTTCTACATGGTACCCACAAATTTAATTAACTTAATCAGTTTTAACCTTCTTTAAAATTAATGTTAAATACTCTTAATTGACTACTAACTATGGTTAGCAATATTTTTATTTTTTTTCCTTTTCTTTAAAAAAAGTGGTTAGCGATAAGATTATTTGGCAATACTACCTTCCCCAAACTCGCGTGTAATGACCCTCTTCCCCAAACTCACATGTAATGACCTTCCTCATTCTTATTTCTTAAACTTCTGCAACAAGTCAACAATCCAAAACCATAACCAATTCATTTCCCTGCAACCTTTTTGTGGGCACCTTGTAGAAATTTGAATTTAGGAGGGCACAACATAAAAAACGCAAAACCTTGGGGGTACTATGTAGAAAAACCCAATAATTAATTTTTAATTACCTTGAGTCAACGGTGAGTTAGAGGGAGGTTAGTTGGCCGGAATTTGGATTAGAGTACTCAAATAGAGGAAAAAAAAAATGAGTATCCAAAGAGTGAAAAAAGTAAGAAGTGAGGGCCTAATTATGTAGTTAACTCATTTTAATTGCAAGAAGTCAGGAGCTAATCGGTGAAAGTATAAATGCATTAAAATGTGATTGAGCATTTTTAAAAAAATCCTCTAAATCGTTTCTCCTTCCTTTATTTCCCAAAAACCCTCTCTCTCTCTCTCTCTCTCTCTCTCTCTCTCTCTCTCTCTCTCTCTCTCTCTCTCTCTCTCTCTCTCTCTCTCTCGTTCTTAGAATCTAGCATGAATCTACCTTAAGGTTGAATTTTTTTGTTTAGAATGTATTATTAATTAATCAATCTGAATTTCTATGCAAAGTATCTCATTATACCTTATAAATCTTAAAATTTAGTTGATTTTAAATCAAACCTGTATAAAAAAGATATAATTTCTCTACAAACAACAATCAACTTGAATTTCTACACAAAGTATCTCACTATAACTTATACATGTTTTTTTTTCCTTTTTTTTTTGGTTTTAAATGTATTATTAATCATTTAATCAACTTGATATTAACCTCTTTTCTCACCAAAAAAAAAAAAAAAAAAAAAAAAAAAATTCATATAATCTCAAGAACAAAGATATAATTTCTTTACTAACTACACAGTTCACATATTGAAGTTGAAAACAAGTAGTAGTATACATTTTGATCATATATTCACTTATATGCTCTTGCATTACTTCATAATTTACCTATCTAATTCTATCAATTTCTACAATCTAAAGCCATAAATTAAATACTACTCGTACTACAAATGAAATTAAAACCCATAATTTCAACCCATTACTACTCTGCCTATAACACCACCACCATCTCACACATGTTTGATCTACCATCCTAGAGTTGCTAGAGTACTGATGGTTATATCCTTGTCTTCTTGGCGCCTCTAAGCACGTGCTCCACTCTTACAAGATTACCATATATACATGAGGACATGATTTATGCCACATAGAACAATGGACTTGGAACTTGTAAATAACAGCAATCCAGTTTCATCTCCACCACAAAGAAAGAGATCATAATGGAAAACAATCATATATGTTGAGTGCTTAAACTTAATCACTTCATATGCAGGTAACATGAACCCAATAAGATATTAACCTCACCATGGCTAAACTCCGCATGATATGTCGTAGGAAATGTGATTACAACTTTCCCAGGCTTTTGCACAGCCATATAAACAGGGACACCATGTTATAACAGAACACTAGGGGGGAATAGAGTTGTTTTTTCCCAGCAGTACATCAAACGCTCCATCTTCTACATCAGTTGACAAAATATCCTCATGGTATACATGTATGTTCTCGCGCAACCTTCTCAAACTGCAAAGCCGCATTGCCAGGTATCCCATACCAAGTTTTAGGAGCCCCACAATGCTGATAATTAATACGGCCATCAGAAAAAGAGGAGTAAATGAATAAGAATTTCCACCATAAAGCTTGACTTTACAAAATATGAAGTACATTTTTCACAGTTCCAGAATGATATATGTAAAGCATAGGATCGGTCACTCCTTGTAAAATGGTATAAAGGTATCGGTAATTAAAATGACCCAAAAATTAAAACATAACTAAAGTATCATAATTTACAATAGGTAGTTCTGCATACCAGGATGATAGCTGCTTCTAGAAGCCGCGAAATAGATTAGGAAAGTCGAGAGAGTTTCTGAAATAAATGAACAGGTAATTTCACTTTAACAGATACAATGTAGTAAAATTAGCAGACACAATAAACCACAAAGATATTATGCAGCTATACAGATCGAATGGAGCTAAAATAAAAACCACAAAGATATTATGCAGCTATACAGATCGAATGGAGCTAAAATAAATCACAATATATGCATGAAATGCAACACAAAATTCATCTAAACACTCCTACTTCACGTAAATGTGTGAAAGTAGGATGACCAAAGCAGGTAATAATCTCATCGAGCTTGAGCTTGTAAAAAATGGTGGTTTTAACAGCTGCATCGAGACCCAAGAATCCTAATTTCCTACTTCACAAAAGGCAGCTAAACAGCTTAGTCAATGTAAGCCCCATATATCTCCCCTTGAACAAGTCAATAACTTGCAAGTTCTACATTCACTGATTCAGTAAAAATCCATGTATCAACATTTGACATCAAGATCTAATAAATAAATCAGGCTCATCTGCAAAATTAGAAGCAGGCACCAAAGATCATCCAGAATTCTGATTATATCACCCAAACTAACATTGCCCATAACATCCTTAATACTTATTCTTGTTTGATTCAGTAATTGAATTCCCCAAACTAGTCAAACAACCTCAACATTATTATAACATCATACTAGTACAATCAAAAGTAACCTCAAACCAAAAATAAGAAATCAAAAACCCTAGCAGAGAAAAAAAAAATTGAGGAACACCATTGATGTGGTAGATAATCACATAATAAAGGTCGACTCAAGAAAATCATAAGCAAAATAATCAAACCTCAGATTATATATTTTATTATTGAAACCCAACCCAAAAAATAATTTACCTGCACAATTTTCATCAAAATTTCAATGCTAATCACATAATCATTACTGAAAAGCATCAATTAGACATAGGTGAAGATCGAATGCTCAATGAAAGCAAACTGGTAATGAAAACATAGCATAAAATGGTTGACACCGGTGCTCTGTCTTCAACTCTGTTATCGTGATCACCAGAGAGCTCTGTCAATGATTAAATATAAATTAAAGATATTAGGTTATCATATGGAGAAGTAGACAGGAAATAAGGACTATCTTAAGGAATAGAGAGAGCATCCACGGAGGAAGGAGGGCAAAAAAAAAAAAGGATTATCGCCACTTTCCACCCATGCTTCTTCTGTGTGGCTTTCTTTTTCCATGCTCTATTAGCACGGATGACAATGTCATCCCTTATCAGGCCCAATTTTGAAGGCTAATATATCTGATGTTGATTATTGGTCTTGTTTTCATTTTCCACCATGTCAAAGAGAGTAAAAAATAGAAAGTAGAAAGAGATAGCATTTCATTTCATCACCAAGAGTTTTTTTTATTACATTACAAGTGAAGACGGCTTCTTATATAACTAATGATATATATGCGCAAATTTACGAGCTGTATGAACATATGATGCCAATACGCCGAACAGAAGAATCCAGAAATAAATAATGACTGCACAGTATTGGGCTGGTCTATGTTTGATCTTGGGGAGTACAATCTAAAAAAAAAAAAGAATCTTGCATCAATACATATAGCTTAAAGAAAATTAAAATACAAACTTACTATAGTCACTGCATATCAAACATCTGAAAGAAAATCAAAGATAACTACTTACATAGCGTAAGAAGACAGTAGCAGCTATAGCAGAAACAACTCCAAGAAAAATATGAAGACCGTATTTTGCTGCCGTCTGCAAATAAGAACAATGTTCTAGTGTAAAGCATGAAACTGATTTTTGATACAACTATCATTTGTCCACATATCTTATATTAAATTAAAACCATTAAACTAAATGTACCTTTCCAACTTCACAAGAGATGAGCAATGAAAAAATTACGCTCAGTAAGCAAGATGCTATAGAAAACACCCCTCCTTCTGCAACCAATCGTTGATACTCGACCTCTTCAACAATTTGGTCAGATTCAGAACATTGGCTCACTTGGCAAACATTCAAGTCCGAATCTGTACCTAAACTACCACTTTCTATTTCTAAACTCATGTTTGTTTTGTTTTTCTTCTAGCTTTCCTTAAGGTCTAACAGATGGCCGTGGAAATGTTGATGCCTGACTTGAAACCTACACAATCAAATTTATTCTTCAATGAATATAACTGACATTTTTGATAATATGTTCAGTGAACTATACTATTCAATATCAACACCCAACACCCACCCTATATATTTCCCCTTTTTTCTCAATTTCTCTCAAAAGAACTAACTCAACTAAGCATAATTCCTGTGTACAAAAAAATACTTCGTATATATTGGTTGGAGCATTAATGATGTATGCTAAACGAGATTTGGGAGTTACAAAGGAAATTCGTACAGAGGTATGCAATGAAGCAATGCTAATACTAGCAAAAAGTAATAGTAATTTCAGTTGTGAATTTAGCATGAATATTACCCTAAAACGAGGAGATGTATACAATTGTTCGATTTAAACTCATAGCTTTTGCTCAGATAGTAACATTCAGATTCAATAATCATCTTAGAAATCGAAAATTATAAGCAGTAGTTCAATAATCCCTCTTAGAAATCGAAAATTATCAGCAATAGTTTAATAATCCCTCTTAGAAATTATAAATTATAAGCAATAGTTCAATAATCCCTCTTAGAAATAAAATATTATAAGCAATAGATCAATAATCCCACTTAGAAATCGAAAATTATAAGCAATATTTCAATAATCCCACTTAGAAATCGAAAATTGTAAGCAATAGGTTCAATGATCAATAATTGTATACATTTTGTAAGCTGAAATTTGAACAATGCATGAATGGTACTATAAAAAAAAAACAGTAAATCCAAGACAACTAATGAAAGGAGTATACTTGTTGAGTAATTATAAGCAATAATCAACAATAATGAAAATTGGAAGATAATTAATTACCTCAGAAGCAGATTGAATGGAGAAGAAAAGAGTTTCGGACCATAACGGTTTCTTCCTAATTTTTTTTCAAAGAATTTGAACAACATTAAATTCTTGTGGGATAACCTAGTGTTTTCCTCCATTTCCAGTTTTGCTACAACACTTTTTTTTTTTTTTTTTTTTTTTTTGCTGAAATTGGAAATTTGGAATCTTTTATACTCGCAAGAGAAATGCTGTTGGCGTTTGGTTGGTAGAGGGGAAAAGGAAAGACTTAGGCCTATTCTCTTAATTTAAGTTTAATTCATTTCAATTCAGTTCGGTTCTAATTCAGCTCAATTCAGTAAATGAGCATCTTTTCAACTTAGGGGCCGTTTGGTTGGGGGTATTCAGGAAAGGGAATGGGAATCAACTGTCCTGATTCCTTTTGTTGTTGTTTGTTAAGCACTTTTAATCATTCCCTTTAACCTCTCCATTACCCCAAATCCTTCCAACTTCATTCCCCACCCCTCCCTAGACTTTTCCATTCCCTTTCCCTACCCACCTTCACACCACCACATCACCACCTTCACACCTACCAACACCACCAGAAAAACCAGCCCTAACCACCACCGCCCCTCCCCCGACCACCGCCAACCCTCCCCCGAGCCTCGCCGCCCTCCCCTCCCCCGAAAAAATTCCGGCGAACCTGTTCAGTTCAGCCCCTCCGTTGACAAATTGCAAGATTTCCTTCACTCCAATCCCACTGGTAACCCTTAATATCTAAATTCATCTACAAATTCATATTCAATTTATTAGTTTAATTTTCTGCCATTATTGTTTGAATTCAGAGGCATTTTTAGTTTAATTTTTCAGGAAACTAATCAATTTAATTGATTGACCGATTAACGTAGTATCACGAAAAGTTGGAAAATCAAACTTGGAATTAAAATGTATAATTGGTGGATTAATTGATTTAATCTAAGAAATTGTTAGGCTATTGAATTGGATTGATGTGTAAGCTTTTATTGTGTGAAGGAGTGAGGTGGTGTTGGGCGGCGATTTTCTGGGTCAAGGAAGATTGGGGCTTGGGGTGGTTTTTTCGGGGGAGGGGAGGGCGGCGAGGCTCGGGGGAGGGGCGGCGGTGGTCGGGGGAGGGGCGGCGGTGTTCTGGGCTGGTTTTCCGGTGGTGTTGGTAGGTGTGAAGGTGGTGATATGGTGGTGTGAAGGTGGTTGGACGGGTGACCTTTCATTCATTCCATTCCTTTGTTATTCAAAACAAACAACACCCTAAAATTGGGGGATTTTCATTCCATTCCTTGTCTTTCCCTTTGTCCATTCCATTCCGATTTCCCCGTGCGAGCCAAACGGCCCCTTAATTTAACTTCAATTCAGTTCCTAATTTCCTTCTCTCATAAACAGTCCAATTCAGCTCAACCCTTACTCCTTAACTTACCGTAGGTTGTTTGTTCTATTTTAAATAAATAGGATGGTCAAGGTAGTTAGAAAATTGGTCAAGCTAAATTAATTATCTCTATCCAAGGGATTTGGCTTATAAGCAACAATCCGCTGATGAAGTGATGATTCAACCAAAAAATGAAACCAGGTTTTAATGGTCATGTTTGGGGTATAAAATTGATTCACTACATGAAAATGAGTATTACCTTTGGCAGTCTAAAATTTTGGGAACAATACCAAAAAGATTAATGCCACAAAACTCTCCTTGGTATAGTAATAAGTTGAATCGGTGCAACAAACTACTGTATAAAAACTTTAATGCTGGTCAAAGTGCAATTAGATCAAGATCCGTAACATGAATCCACCTATAATCACCATCACCTTTTCCCAAACCTATTGAATATCCATCTAAGGGTCATCCTTTGACGCTGAGCTAGGTTGCTACAGAGTAACAGAGGACCACAACATTGACAACATCAAAATACACAAAGAAGCACCATTCATCATTTTTCAACATATGCACAAGATAAATCAAATAGGAGCATGAAACGACATTTATTTCGCTATGACAAGCATTATCAAAGAGGATAATAACTTCATAACATGATTTACTGACAGTAAGTTGTTACAGTGCCATAGAAATAGAATACCAACTGCACCACCAGTTATAGCTGTTAGTGACCGTTTTTTCCTTCTATTTTGGTTTCTAGCAAAGCAAACTAAGCCATCCTAATATAACTTCTCCATATATAATATGCGACTATATACAGGTAATAAATAAAGCAAATTCATCTTCCCTTGTTGGGCATCCAAGTATCTAACTAGCATCCAGTGACTATTGCCTAATTGTCAGCTCTGCCTTGAGATGCAATACGCCATTGATGAAGAACTGGCTATCCTCCGCCATAAACGAGGTCCATGGCGTACCAAACAAGTTTCTGTACCCAACTGCCTTCCCTCCTGTGAAAGTGTAATTCCCTCGATATTTGGAAACAAACTCATCAGCAGGCTTTTGTCTAGCAGAAAATTCATAATCCACAGCAAACGATACAGAACCCTTCTCCTGCATGCCCAAGAACAGACCAAAGCAATGAAAGGAGCTCTGCTGATCCATATTACAGTGGGCAGAGAGGAAAAACCCCTGTCCACCGAGATGGAAAGCCTGGGAATACACCCGACCTGATGGAAAGAGGTTCTGGCATTCCTCTTTCCTCAAATCCAAGTACACTATACACTGCGGTCGTGGTAGTTCAAACTCTATCACCTTCACTGGGCGATATTTGTAAGCCCGCTCAATATAACGGTGACCAGAAGTGTTAGCCTCATCTGCGAGCAGGGCTCGCTGACGATAAGGTGGCTCGGCCTTGAAAAAAAGTGCTTCCGACACCAGCTTGGAGGAGAGCTCTGGATCTAGGTCATTGCATGTCATGACTTTCCTTAGCTTCCTGCATGTCATGTGCGGAAAACGGATCAATCGGCAGAGTCGAGTGCCAAGTACCTTTCGTCGCTCCTCCAACTTCGAGTAATGGGTTCTAGCCCACTTCACTGCAAAATCATAAACAGCGTCTTCAGAAGCAACCTGGAGATCATCACTGCACAACACTGCCTCGATTCCAGCAAGAGGGAGGTCCATTACCTCTGACTGAAATCTGGTAAACAAATGGACGGTCAATTATTACTCACGCAAAAGCTAATAACCTACAACAATTACAAAAGCAAAAAAGCATGGACTAATTGCAAGAGCTAGTGGCCGATTGAATGGAATTAATAAATTTGTGGCAATTAATGTAGGAACAGCAAAATATCTATTTTCTCTTCATCTTTTATTTGGGAAAAGGATGAGAAATTCAGATTTTCAGGTAAGCATACTTAGTCATGTCCTTGAACCGTAATGCAAGAAACTCCTTGGCAGCATCGGTCAATGGTTTGACTGCATCAGCCATCAAGACACTTGAGGGAAGGTCCAAATATAACAAAGCTACATCAGACGTCATAGGAAAATTGCGCAACATCCGGCTGCAGTATCTCATGCATGAAGCAACTTCAAATTTGTCAGCGGCCATCAGAACATCTAGTATACCAGGTGGAGTGTTGGTTTGTAAAGTATTGCTGTACATAAAATTTAGGAGATCCATAAGCGCAGCTTCCTCTGCTCCACAAAAAAAAAGGGAGTTTCATAAGTTAATAATTCCAAGCTCAGTCAAAAAGATATTTTAAACACTATGCTTGGACATCTGTAGTGAATAAAGAGGGGAAAAAAAGGGGGGGGGGGGGGGGATTAAATAATGGAGGTGAGGGTGGGCAGGTAAAGGGAATGCTTGTGTTTTCGATCCAACACTGGAAGGATTTGGTGATAAAAGGTAAGGCTAACGTATCCCTTCCCTTTCCCAAGACATACTTAAACAAGGTAAGAACGGAAGATGAATCCCTCACCCTCTTCCCATACTTTCCATCCAAATTACCCTATCTAACACACCATCAGTTTATCAACAAGAAAAATGAATCAGCAATACAGATCATTTTGATGAGGATAATGACAAGAAAAACTAAATTCAAGCAAAATGGCCCTTGTGACAGAATTCAAAAGGAGAACGGAATCATTTACTACCGTGCAAGGCATCCATCTTCATCCACTTATACGGAGTATCTAATAATGGATTAAGAAAAAGATTCCAAACAGGTGATTCCATCTGTACTTACCAGAGGCATGAATACGTAAAGTCACGTGTCGCTGCTCAGATTCCCTCATCCCATTTGAAAATAACTACAGAAGAAGTGTCAAACAATCAGAAACATGATACTAATTTTAAGATGGCATAAATAAAGACTGTGTCATACAAGCTGAGATTATCACCTTATAAAAAAAAGGACTCTTGGCAGCTAAAATTGGAGAGCTTATGTGAATAGTCTTCACTGGAAGAACTACTGAACAATCCATGTTCAAGGGAGAATCACTATTTTGCAGAGTCTCATCACCTACAAGATTTTAACACAGATCAAAATTATGCAGAGAATAAAGCAAATGAAAAGATATAAAAATATATATATGTGAGCATGGAAACACAGAACGATGTAACATTGTAATTCAAATAATTTCCAGAATGTGGAATAGATAAATCAGTATCACACCATCAATAATCGGTGACTCTTCTAGCATAGCCACTGCTTCCCCTTCTAAACTTTCATAGGCAACACCATCAGGGTCTGGCATATTGCAGTTCAAAATCTGATCATCAGGCTGCAGAATAATATCTGCACCTGCACGTAATGTTTAATCAGTGCTGTCAGCAAATAATCATGGCAACCAAAATAAAAACTTTATGACCCCCAACAAAAACAAAAGGTGAAATAGCCTAGTTTTATATACCAAAAACCCAAGAGTAAACTGAACAAATACTTGAAAAGCATCAATGAATATAAAAAAATAAATTAAAATAAATATATTAAACAAATAAAAAATAAAATAAAACCTATATATAATATCAGAGAAACAAAGATAAAGCCTCCTTCCACAAAATCCTTACAGATGAGTTTTCCTACATTTCACTACTCATGGAATTACAAATAGTAAATGATTACAGAATAATTAGAATTCACTTTAAAATCAAAGTATCCGTTTTAGGATAATCTGATGCAATTACAGGCATAGAAGCTGAGCTGGAAGAATCAAGCATGAAAATAGCTGAGGTGGAGCAAGATGAGTTGGTATGCAACAGTGAAAAAGCAGCTGGAGAGGAGAAAGGAAAAGAATTGACAGCTGTCCAAGAGAAGGGAATGAGCACTGAAATTGAGGAGAATAATTCTGAGAATAGTACTGAAAGTTGTATTTTTGTTTTCTAGCTGAGTTGTCCAATTACTAGCCGTTATGTTATTTTGTCCTTTGTAAGCTGAGCTTATCAGCAATCTTCAAGGCTATTTAAGCCAAATCTCCTGTAAAAATGATTATGCTTAATGAATGAAATCACTCCTCTTTCCTGACTATTCTCTCTCTCTCTAAAAACTCTCTAATTGTGTTGCATCAATTATTTCCACCAAAACCGCCCTGCTTTCCTTTGGCTGGTTTAAGTCTCCATTTTGCCTTGCAAAATCAGACTTGTTTTTTCTAGAGCTATCATAATCCTTTCCCAATCTAGCACCAACTTCTTTTCTAGCTTCTAATAAGGTATGAAATCATTCAAACTATGAAGATAAACTCAAAGTTGTTTCTTCTTTATCTTATAGTTGTGTCATAATAGAAATCAATTTTTTCATGTTAAAGGGCTAGATAACTCAAGGTTTTTTTTTTTTTTTTTTTTTTGGGGGGGGGGGGGGTTCTCTTGAATTGCCACTTGGTTGAATATAAGGCAAAAACCTGATATGGCTCAAGTCCTGGACTTTATTCCACTCAATATTGGGTATCACTTGGTCTGGCTGTTGCTTCAAAAGGTATTCACTCACATATGACATATGCCCACTCCAACCAAGATCTATAAAGATGATTAATTGATGACTAATTCCAGATGCTAAGCATAAGTAGGCAGGGAACCCTAAGAGCTGCTTCATAAACCCAGTTGCTAATTTGCTATATCCAACTATTTAGAATTTGGCCATTAAATAAAGAAGCTCTGAGTAGGAAATAAGGAATTTGCCCAGGAATGTTGCTATTCTGTCTTTCATGTCACTACTCTAATAGTTATGCCCTAGCAACATCTCATACATAGTTGAGAGTACTTGAGACAACACATTCTAATCTACTAAAATACACCTAAGTAAGAGAAGAGCAATGTGCTCCAACTTTTTGATTCAACCATTCAAGCAAGACATGAGATCACTTCCAGGGGCGTTTGCTTAGGTTTATTTAAGAAAGGGAAAGGCAATCAACTACCATAACTTCCTTTATTATTGTTTGTTGGACCAATTTACTGATCACCTTTACCCCTTTTTCCCCGACTTTCTTCTACCATGATTCCCCCACAACAACCCCCCCCCCCCCCTCAAAGGAACCAGCCTAACCAACTTAACTACCAATTGACCACCCCCCCCCCCCTCCCCCTCAAAGGAACCAGCCTAACCAACTTAACTACCAATTGACCACCCCCCCCCCCCCTCCCCTTCAAAGGAACCAGCCTAACCAACTTAACTACCAATTGACCACCCCCCCACCCTCAAAGGAACCAGCCTAACCAACTTAACTACCAATTGACCACCCCCCCTCAAAGGAACCAGCCTAACCAACTTAACTACCAATTGACCACCCACCCCCCCCCCGAAGAAACCAGCCTAACCAACTTAACTACCAATTGACCACCCAAAAAACTCCACCCATAACCAGAACTTCCTTTGACCGCCACCAAAAGTTCATTAAACGACACCAGAACCGCCCTTATCACTGCCAGAACTTCCTTAGCCGCCGCCGTCTGCTGGAACCGCCCAACCATCGAAAAATCCAGCCAACCACTTGCAAACTACCCCAACTCACCAACCATAAAAAAAAAAACCCACAACCTTCAAAAACACCCGATCCACCACGAACCACCACCCAACCATCACTAAAAATATAACCCACCCACCATAATCATCCCCTCACATTGAAACCATACCCAACCCACCGCAAACCACCATTCCACCATGACCCAATCCTCCCAAGTTCACCTAAACCACCAAAAAAAGAAAAAAAAAAAAAAAATACTTTGATTGATTGATTGAACTCGCTGGAAACCGCCCCAATAACAACAAAAACTACTCTAACTATTAAAAATTTACTCCACTTACTCTAAAACCAACCAAAAACAAGTTGTGGAGTGACAATGGTGGTGGTTATGGAGAAGAGTGGTGGTGGTGGTGGTTGACCTTCTCTCCCTTTGCTTGTAAGAAAATAAAAATAAAAATAATTAATTAATTAAAAAAAGACATTAGGGAATAGGGAGTGGCTATCATTTTCCCTTCTCTCCCTTTCCCCTTTACAAACAATCGCCCCCTTATAGTGTTGTTATACCAAGACCCTTGGATTTCAAGCTAACATATATTAGTTTGGTTTCGAGCTAAATATCCCAATAACATTAAACTAAAGATCCAATAATTTTGCATATAGTTTATAAGTTTTCAGATAAATTCTAAACACACAGGTGTCTTCAGCAAAGTAACAGCACAAATATCCATATAGTTAGAGGTTAAGTGCTCGAGCTAGATAAATTTTCCACAATAATGAGAATTGGGGAAGAATCAAACAGAAACTAAAGATATACCAAAATCTTGGTCATCCTAGTGAAAACCACAATAAAAAAAATAAATAAAACAACTCATTAGATAAAAGTATAAAACTACATTTACATGCAACTCAAAGCACCATTTGATACTACTACAGCAGAAAACCCAAATCACGCGTTTAAAAGTAGCTAAAATTACCAATAGCTAGTTAGTAATCCCCAATTTAATAATCAAGTTCTCTTCTTAAGGCAATTCACACAGACTAAGTATATCATGAAGCATAGTCAAGGCATTGGTTTCCAAAGCTAACATATACTTTCATACTAGTTTGATACTTAATTTCGAATTGGAGGGAGAATACTATATGGGCGAAATTACGAAATATGATCTTAAACCAATGGTAATCAGAAAATCAAAACTTGATTTCTATTCAAAAAAATCCTACTAATAATTACCTTTGCAATCAAATTAATTCGCCAATAATAGTAAACAAAAACCCTAATTATTTATGCATCAATCAACACTAAAAGCCACAATTACAATCGTATTAAAAACTAACAATCAAAAAATACAACTCAAAAGCACAAATTAATGAAATAAATCAAAAGAAATTGAAAATAAATCAAGAAAATTATAGAGAAAAAACAACCCAGGTTCTTTTTTGATATCATCTCTCCTACGCTTCCGATTCTTAGCCCAATCAGCAATGGTGGTGCAACCATCATCGTCGGATTTGACATCAGGCAAATCAGGAACAATCTCAACCTTAAAAATCCGGTCGGAAAAATTACTATCATTGAAAGCAAACCCAAAATCAGATTCCGAGCTTGAAGATTGCAGATCATCATTAGTTGCGCTACTAGTACTGCCACCCGATTTGATGATTGCAATTCTGGAATTGGCTAATTCCATATTCGACTGTTTCATCACTTTCCCAGAAACCCTAACCCCCAAATTTTGATTCTGGGAAACGAACCCTAATTGAAAACGTAGTACTCGTAACTGAGTAAGTGATCACAGTTATTGTGTGACGCGTAAGTTATTAGAGTGACACCATCTTAAGTACGAAGTATTAGCCTATTAGGTTTTCAGTTACCACTGAATATGGAAAACTTTTGCGCAGTTGGAGTGTTAAATTGATTTGGGGGATTTCGTACAGAAAATGAGTTGTTTCAATTTTTGGATTTTGGAAATTTGGATTTTGGAAATCGGGTAGGGCCAGCCCGTTGTATAAAATTTTGTGTACAAATTCGCAAAATAAGTATCCCGGGAGATATTATTAGTCGCCAAAAAAAACATATACTACGTAAATATTATCAGGTTAAAATGGGTTTTATGGCTTTTAACCGTTTGAATTTGAGTTTTGAACTAAAATTATATACGAAGTATTTATGTTTGCTCAACCGTGCACTTTTTATAGATCGGACCATCGGAACAATTATTGATAATCACCTCTATATAAGTATGATACTCTCTCACTCTCTTTGTTTGTTTAGTATCCTAATTTAATTGAACACGTATGCTAACACATAATTTTGATCAATAGTGTACTCTATAAACTTATCCATACTTGTAAATCCATACATTTTAAAAAGTTTAAAAAAGCTCCTATGAATAGCGTGCAGACATGTATTTGCATATTTTTAAAAATATTTGTTTACTTATTCGTCTTTATTAATGTTAATTGCATCTTTTTTGAACTCTTAAATAGTGTGCAATTATTTATACACCGACTCTAAAATTATTTTCTTACATATTTTCTATCGTTACTGTGCCAACAACTAAATTTGTGAAATAAGACCAAAAAGAAAAGGCCGACAGGTTAAGGCGCGCACATTAACTGCCCTAGTTATATTAATGTTTATTATTCGAAAACTATACATGTAGACTTCTTCAACAACTACTCACATATGACTATATGCTTTTTTAAAAAAAAAATTAATACATATGTATAAATCATTAACATTGGTGGAATTCGCTTGATAGTACAAAAGGTCAAGGTGAGACACTTTTTAAAAACAAGAGGGAGTAATCTAGCACTTCCCTACATCTTCATGTCATTAATTTACTTGATGTTTCATTAAATAAAAATTTGATTTATTGTATTTTTTAAGAATGGAATAGAAAATGGAGAAATATTTTATTATGGAATAGAAGGAGTAGCTAAGGGTCTGTTCATATTTACTTAATTTCAGTTCAGTTCAGTTCAGCTCCAATCAGTTCAGTTCAGCTTCAATCAGTTCACTTCAGTTCAGCTCCTAATTTCCCTCTCTCATAAAATATTCATTTCAGCTCAGTTCAGTTCAGTTCAGCTTCAATCAATTCAGTTCAGTTCAGTTCAGTTCACCTCCAGTTCAGTTTAGTTCAGCTCAGTTCAGTAAATGTGAACAGGCCCTAAGAAGTAGAAGATTGTTGAGGATCGATCAAACGTAATTCAATCAATTACATACTATTAAAAGAGGATATAAGGGGAAACTTGGCAGTATATTATAAAAAAAATTCCCGCCAAAATTACTTTTTCTACAAATAAATTATTGTTTTGCATCTAGATTATGATTTTTATTTTATATAATTTTAAAGTAAACTTCCTAAACTATCAACTTGCACTATATAACTATTACATATATAAATATTTTTTATTATATGTTTTCAGTGTTTTAATATATTTCATGCGTTTTTTTGTATAATGCACGGGGGTTCTAGTTAACACTACAAGTAAAACGACAAATAACAACATAGTTTGGATTAGAATTAGATCTTAAAGTATAACCGAACCCAAGCTCAAAGCTCAAAGCCCAAAATAGGTGCTATTGGACTATAATACCCCAATGCCAGTAAGACACCTAAACCAAACACAAATTCTAAGGTCATGTGCAACAAATAGCCCAAATTTACCAACATGGATAAGCTCAAAACCCAAAGCCTGCAATTGAGTAGGAGCTAGGACTAATCAATTTTAACCCCTTTTTTTTTATAATTTTTTTTTTTTTGAAATAATGAAAGTAACCGCTTAAATATTTTTACTTTGTGCTAAGTTTAGGGGCCGTTTGGTTCATTATAGGGAAAGGAAATAACTAAAACAAAGGGAAAGGAGATGAATAGATGTAACTCCCTTTGATTTGCAATGTTGTTTATTTTAAATACCAAAGGAAATAAGAGCCACCATGAAACCACTACACAACTCCCTTTACGGTTCTCTTTCTCTTTTTTTTCGAACACCTTGAAGATCTCCCAACACTCAACTTGGTCACCTACCCTACCACCTCCCCACAATGCCCCTCCCCCTATCTCAATCGCGCCTCTTTGTCGCGACAAACCACCAGTAAAGCTCTCCCCTCCCCCGTAAAACTTCTCCCAATCCCGAATAACCCTCTTCGACCACCTAAACCCTTTAAACGCCCTTAGCACTAGTTGGAAGTATTGGTTATGTGGATTGACTTTTTAAGTTAGTTGTGTTACGCTAACTGTTTACAAAAGTGTGTTTGGTAAAACTATTTATGGTTGTTACCTGTTTATTAGTGATAAAGTAGGCAAACAAGCCAAAAGCCAATAGAAAAAATTACTCTTATTAGTTTTTAACTGATAGAAAAGTCAGCTTAAAAGCCAACAAAAAAGTCAACTACCAATCATATTTTTTAGTTGTTTAACCAAACTAAAAAGCCAAAAGATAGGCAAAAAGTCAATTGTCAATCACCCCCATATCTTTGTTAGTTAAACAATTAGGGGTAGTACTCAAGTTTTGGGTATGAATCCCACGCCGCGTACATCATTTGCAGCTTATGGCTCTATACAATTAGTAATCTATTGGAAAGTGTTACTATATATTTGCATATGGTTCATGCCCTAATAAAAGATTTGGGTTTAACCCTCGCGTATATATATCATTTGCAACTTATATTCCGCATACACCATTAGAGGTAATATCCAAGATTTCATTTTGAATCTCACTTACATCATTTGCAGCTTATGGCTATATACAATTAGTAATCTTATTGAAAAGTGTTACTATATGCGTGGTGCATACGGTGCATATTCCAATAGAAGATGTATAGAAGGAAACAATTAGTTGCAATTTACAATTTAATTAAAGCCTAATAAGTACAAATTGGAGCACCTTGTAGTGTGAAGCTCTTGTCTTCTAAACTTTATTTACCTGTTTTAGTGGCCCACTAATAAACCCTATTTAACCTTATTCTTAATCAGGAAAGAAGAGTTATGTGAATGGTAGCTTAGTGCTGAGCACCCTAACATGGCATGTTTTGCTTTGAAAAATGAACTTCAAAGTACAACCTAGATATTCTAATGACAACTTTTATAGTATAATTAGTAATATTAATTGGTGTATTACATGGTATAGTTTAATTAATTAATCAAAGTGGCGGCTTATTGGTCAAGCTTATAGTATATTAATACTTTTTATGTGTCCATCAAGAAAAAAAATGCTATTTTGCTACATTCTAAACATAGGTGTGTAAGCAAATGTGGAGTACATTTTTGTTGGGCTCTCTGCTTACTTTTGATTTCTTGATCATATCACCTCATGCATTCTTGCTTCTCATGGTTCATGGTTTTCTGACAATATAGATCTGTAATATCTGGATTAATTTTACTAGATTAAGAACAATTTACTCCCTTAGCTAGGCTTTGTTCTTTTAACCCCACACACATATATTCATAAAAGCTATTGATAATCAATTAATGTTTAGATTAGGGTTACCAAAGTTCAGGTCAAAGGCACAAGTTTATATCATGGTTGTTGGAGTTCAAATAATTAAGTGTCTGTTCTCATAGACTGAACTCAGCTGAACTGAACTGAACTGAAATGAACTGAACTGAGCTGAACAAAAGTAAACTGAATTGAAATGAATATTTTATAAGAGAAGGAAATTAGGAGCTGAATTGAACTGAATTGAAAATAAACGTATGAGAACAAACCCTAAAAGGTAATAAGTTTAATTTATTGTTAAAAATTAATATTAAAAATGCATAAGCAGGTGAAAAGAACATAACTTTAATTACAAGCAAGTACATTTCTCGATCAACTTAATACTCGCAACACATCTTATATGTTTGGGATAAATATATATCAATCTTCCATCCACCCCAAACAATTTATTAGCTAAAGTTTTTTTCACAATATGTAACATATATAACGAATAATTCCTTTTATACCTTGTTATTATAGCGATAGAGAGATTATTTAAGGTCGGGGGATATGAATGATTTTGCAATGCAAGGTCCAATAATTAAAAACAAACTAGTGAGTAGCCCAGGCATTGCCCCGGGTTACTACTTTTATAGTTGTACAACTGCTTATTTATAAGAGTATCTAATACTTCTTCCGTTCTGTTAATATTGCAACAAGGAGGAAATTACGCATCCCGAAACATCTTTTATATGCTAAATATCTATAATTGTGTAAGAGTAAAAATTATAAAAAGTTGATATTGTGAAAGTACTTTATGAGACGAATCCAACAAGATCCTACTTGACTATATTTTGCTTAACTTATAACTTATATTATATGGTCAAACAAGAGTGATGAATAGTGCAAAAAGTCCATTGTTGCAATATTAATCGAACGGAGGAAGTAGTTTGTATGTAGTATGTGTCTTCAATATATTGTAGTATAATATTATTTATTGTTTAATGTTAAAGCATAATTGCAATTAGTCTGATGGTTATACAATAACTTTTCTTCTAAAAGGTCAAAAGTAGATATAGATATAGATTTTAGGTCAATTAGGGTCGTTCTCATTGACTGAACTCAGCTGAACTGAACTGAATTGAACTGAATTGAGCTGAATTGAACTGAACTGAACTGAATATTTTATAAGAGAAGGAAATTAGGAGCTGAGCTGAATTGAACTGAACTGAACTAAACTGAGCTGAACTGAGCTGAACTGAGCTGAACTGAACTGAACTGAATCTCAACGTAAGAGAACAGACCCTTAGTCCAAGTGTTAGGTTCTAAAAAGACCACTGCAGTATAAAATATTATGATCACCAATTTAGCAATTCATATCATACGTGATAAGAATATAAAATTTGACAACTAATGAGGTAGGTAAAAAAATCTTACCCTTCCAAGATTACAAATATTGTGATCACACTTTCATGACAAATGTGATATAAATATAAAAATTAAAAAATCTTAACCTTTCAAGTTACAAACACTATACTTTTGTACCTATAAATTGAA